TACGCATTTTGATAAATTAGAGCCTTTCCAATAACACTGAGTAGATGTTACAGATGGTTCCTCACTTCTTCTATGAAGCCACATATTTACAACCAACTGAAAAAAATAAAAGGGTTAGATATGCAGTTACAAAATAACTATATAACCAGCTACAAAATGCCTTTATTTTATGTAACAAGACGAGTAGAGCTTTACTAGCTCTGAACGAATCCAGTAAAGAACCTCGGATTTTCAAAACTTAAAAAAAAACAACCTCACCACATTTTCACATTTTTGAAATATTATAGAGCTTTTCAAAAAAAACTGCTATTTTTAAAAATACAATTTTTTGTTTAAACAGCTATGTCTCATTTTAGGCTATTGAGTATTATAAAATAAAAAATTACGGGATGCTTTGTTAGCTTCAAACGAATCCAGCAGAGCACCCCAGTTTTTTTTTAAACCACACCACGTTTTTTGGCTCCTACAATATTATAAAATATTCGAAATTTGGCATTTTAAAAAAGATTCGCAATTCCTTGCTGACTTCTAAAAACAAATGTACTTACCACATTTTTAGGATTTTAAAACAGCCTAAACATGTGTCATAAGTAGTTGTTTTTATATATATATATAAAAAAAAACAAATTAAAAAACTGAAGTGTCCTGCTGACTTTGTTCCAACAAAGCACCCTGTATTATTTAAAAATAGCAATTTTTTTAGTAAAGTTTTACAATATTTCAAGAGTCTAAAAATATTCTAAAAATGGGGTGTGGTTTTTGAAAAAAGCTTTAAAAAAACCGAATTGCTCTGCTGGCTTCTTTCGAAGGTTAGCAAGCACCATGTATTTTTAAAAATATAATATTTCAAGTTGCTGTTTTTACAGAAAAAACTTTATAAAACAGAGGTGCTTTGCTGACTTCGTTCGAAGCTATAGAGCATTTTAAGTTTTGCAAAAAACGAGGAGCATAAAATTTTTGAAAAGGGTATAAAAATAGCCTATTCTTTGGTATCATAATTATTACTAGGTTCACTAACAAAATCTGTTTCTAGATTATTTTAACACTTGCTGCGATTACAAAAAATGTCTATATGTCAAAATTAGAAAAAAAATATTTATAGTAATAAAGGGCCTTATACACTGTTTATTATATGTAATATAAAAACAAAAAAGCATAATAAATATTACAAACCTTGACATGCAGCATATTGTGCACTAAAATTTTCATTTTTGTTAATTACAACAACAACATCAGAAGGTTTTTGCCGTACTTTATGTTTAGGTGTAATTTGTCTCCTTGTCTCTTATGGAAAAAGAAATTATCCCCATATTCTTGCTTGGCAGATCTAAAAATAAAACCTGAGATAAATACGTTTTACTTGCTCCATATAAACTGTAACTACCTACTATTAAAACAAAGTCTTACCTTTCTAACTTTTGTAAACTGAGTATTGTTAAAAAATGCAGTAATCATCTCGGTAATCATATTTTCGTTTACAATGGGTAAAACACTTGATTCAACTTTTATAAATCCAGCTGATTCATATTAATAATAAAATTAAACCAAAACCAGGGCTGGATACCAGCCCTGACCAAAACAAAAAACTAAGGTTAGGTGCTGTCAATTTTAATGTCACTTAGATGTGCGTTCACTTCGACATTCTGTGTGTCGGTTTGTTCGTTGGCTTGGTTTTGTATAACAAAAAAAACTTCGACACAAGATGATTGGTCTATTCCCGATGACGTATCATTTCAAATTTTAAATTTCAATTGGGCTTAATTTAAAAACTTTTGGCTTTTTTAACGAACTGACTATTTAGAATAACTTGTATAGCGACTAACTATTACAATATAATTTATAAAACAGCATATCTCACATGTGAACATGGCCCATTGTCGCGTTATTAGCGATGACTTTTAGGTTCAAAATAAGTACATAGTTATAAAAAGAAAGACAAAATTCAGAATTTTAATATAATTTTAACTCTAACACAATAATAATTAGAAAATACGATTTAATTATTACCTATAACATACGATTAGAAAAAATATTAAAAATTGTGAGTTGTATCTGTTATAAAAAAGATTTCATTTTAATTTGATTTTTTAATCACAATGTACAAACAATCGGAGAAAAATTATATGTTTCACACGGCAAAGAATTAGATTCACTGCCTTGGCTAGTTTAATTGAATGAAATGCTAGCAGCGGCAGTAAATCTGTTACTTCTCTGCCTATTTAAACAAATAACTATGATTAGAACATTTTTTGTATAATAATTATTATATTCGTATATTATAAACATTACTGCGATTCATTAAGTACGGGCCTGAGCAGTCATGATGTGGTTAATTGCATGTGGATGAGAAGACCTGCAGGAAAATATTAATTCCATTGATAATTATAGACTGTGTGCTGCACACTTTGAGGAACAAATGATAATAAAAAAGAATATGAAAACTCGGCTACTGCCAACTGCCTTTCCAACAATATTTCTTCATTTGGAGGGTTCTTCAAGGAGTGTTCAAATTGCAAGTAGCTCTTCTAGAGAACCAGCTAATTTGATATATAAAAAAGGGAGTAAAATAGCACATAGGCTCCGTGCTGTAGAATATATGTTTCACACGGCAAAGAATTAGATTCACTGCCTTGGCTAGTTTAATTGAATGAAATGCTAGCAGCGGCAGTAAATCTGTTACTTCTCTGCCTATTTAAACAAATAACTATTTATGATTAGAACATTTTTTGTATAATAATTATTATATTCGTATATTATAAACATTACTGCGATTCATTAAGTACGGGCCTGAGCAGTCATGATCACAATTAGTAAGTACACGCCTGATTTCTACTCCAACGACTAACGAGAACTGGGCCACGCGACATCAAAGAGGCCGCCTGAAAGTTAATATTCTGGGATATAATTATTCTGTGACTAAATGAAGAAGCTCTAATTGAGGTTTTGGGAACATTTGTTGCCGTGCCAACTAGCTCCATACGAATAGTAGCAGAACAGACGGGAATATCACGCAAGACTGTAAGAAGAGCACTGAAAATGCATAAAATTTCATTCCTATAAAATGCAGATACTTCAAGAGCTCTACGAAGATGATTTTGATAAAAGAATAGTTTTGTAAAACCATGTCTGGTCAAGTCAATGCCAACCCTAATCTTCTGCTGAATATCTGTTTCAGTGATGAATCTTCATTTTTTTCTAAATGACAACGTTAATAAACACAAATGTTGATACTGGAGTGACGAACACCCGCATATTATTCAAGGCATACGCAATTATTGGTTCTTTATTTAATGAAGGAAACTTGCCAGTCGATCTTGTCCCTTAATATGCTTGAAGAGATTATTGACCCTCTTATAAACTCATGAGCTAGAAACAAACTGATGCAGAAGGTAATTTAGTTTTACAGAAGGATGTGTTAAATTTCCAGCAGGACGCTGCTACACCTCATTTTTTCTTCTCGTCTGACAGAGATTTCCAAGCCCTTGGATTAGCAGAAGGGGAGCAATTGAATGGCCCCAAGATCACCTGATTTAACTCCCTCAGACTTTTTTCTTTGGGGACACTTTAAATCCGTTGTTTATGAAACACAACCTGCTGATATTGATGATCTTAAAAGGAAAATTACAGAAGCATGCAGGTCCGTTTCCGGTAAAAGTTTTTCGAAATGTTAGAGAGGAGTTGGGAAAAAGACTTTTTACTGTTTACAGTACAATGGTCATTTTTAAAATAGTGTACAAGTAGATCTTATGAGTTCTATTTTTAAAAATTTTTGTGCAAATTAAACGTTATTTATTTTGTAAAAGTCACCCTACCAAAAAAATAAAAAGTTAAACGTGTAGACTTGATATTCCTTCTGTTATTCAACTCGATAGGAAAATTTTTGTTTAATAAATAACTAATAAATGAGGGTACCATTGGAAAGAGAAGTAAACGCCCTTTAAAATGATGTGCCTCTTGACACCTTTTCCCATTTAAGATTTTAAGGGTAACAACTACCCCTCCTAGGAGGTTGAGCCACGAGTATTAAAAGTATTCATTGTAGGTGTCCTCCTTGAAAATAAAATTGAGGGGTTTTTGCGATTTTTCACATTATTTAATGGAAGAAAGATATTTAGTTTGAGAAGTTTTCGGTGAAACCCTGTATGTATATCACTTGTTACATAAGCACTTATAAAGAAAAAAATAAATACAAAAATTTAAATAGTACCTGAAGGGTCTTTTAATTGAAGACTATACTCGTTAAAATAAAATTTATGTGTCTGATCTTTAAATGACTTTTATTCAAAAAAAATTGTTATTAAGATATTTCAAATATTATGTTTCCGAGTAGGAAATTGCAAGATCTATCAAAATCAAGAAAAAAAATTGGGGTTACTATTTAAAAAAATTGTCAATGACGTCACTGCCCAAAAAATGAAAAGTGGGGGAAAATTGGCCCAAAAATGAAAAGTGGGGGAAAATTGAATTCTATTTAAAAAATTGCGCTTTGAGTAAACAAAATTGACCTGTCCGAGCATTTTTTTCGAAAAACCAACTACTTCCATTATAATGAATTTATTCCTTTCATTTGAACCATACTGTATGTACATTTTTATTGAATTAGTAAAAAACTGAGTACAATCCTGGAAACACTCAACTGCGCAGACTCCCCGCACCACCGGGAGGTTCTCCTGTAAACGTTTTCTGAAATGACAGTTCATATCTCCTCTCCTCCATATCTATGGTCTTAGCAGTGATTTTTTTTTTTTTTTTCGTTTAAAGTGGGTAGTAGTAAATTTCTTGTAGTTTATTTTTTCGCTACGCTGTACATACATATGCACTTTTAGCAGTGAAAGATATACCAGAGAATGAACTAATTTTGACTAAAAAGAAAACCGGTGGATGGTAAATACATATCATTGTGAGATTTAATGGACTATTTTAATTTTCTTCAGCAAAAAACCATTAACTCACAAATGGCTACCCCAGTATCAATAAAATAATATGTTTTAACTGCGTACCTTATTCTCTGTAGAAGAATCTTCAGTCGCTGCAGAAGTATCTTTAGTCGCCGGCAAAGTATCTTCAGTCGCCGCCGAAGTATTTTCAGTCGCCGCAGAAGTATCTGCAGTCGCTGTGGGGCCTTGATCTTGGGTCAGATTTACTAATTTTGTTTCTTCTTGAACTGTACTGTTTACTGAAGAACCTACAAAAGTTAATATAATAGTCTATTTGCAGGGTGTTATTGAATTAGATACATATTAAAAGTGACAAGACGATTCATAACTACACCGACGGTTCTAAAACAAAACTAGGCTCAGGATGGGAAATATACTCCAGATCCATAAACCTAATAATAAAATGGACTGTGAGCAATAGTGCCAGTGTAGTTCAAACCAAGTTTACGGGGATTCTTACAGCAACAAAAGAAATTATCAAAAACAATATCACTGGAAGGAACATGTGGATGGAACAGGTTTATCTATACATACAGGGTTGGGCAAAATTGGGGGAACACCCATTTGTGGATCAATTATAGATTGTATTGAAAATTATACCTAATCAAGTTTTTTTATATATTTTATGCACTATTTAAATGACACTTGGGGATTTTTATCATTTGTCATATTTATCAAGATATGCCGTCATCGGATAAACTTTATTATTAATTATTTCTATGATTTGGAAATAAACAAACTAATTCTGAAACTATCTGTACTTAAAGAAGTAGCAAATAACGATCACCGTTCAGAGTTCCTCTCATGAAGAATGGTCCAATAATTCTTCCTCTAACTATACCAGCCCATGCAGAACATGGAAACTACAAAGATACTTGCGTTCCTCAAAACCCAAAACCAAACGGAAAAATGGCAAGTCATTCACATGCAAGTGGAAGACAACGGTCAAACCATTGTACTGTTGATTGACGACGACTCTCTGAAGGCTTTAGAAAACCTGCAGTTAAAACCCTATCTGGGCCTAACTCAGGCAATCTTCAGAGTGCAAAGGGAGAGGAAGGAAGAACCTTCAGATGCACAGAATAGTGCAAGCTAATCTGAGACACTACAAGGCAGCCTCCACAACCCTTGCACGTACCATTATCAGGAAGGACATAGACGTAGCCCTAATACAAGAACCCTCTGGATCTACAAAGGGCATGTGATGGGGCTCGGACAAACCAAAGGTAAGATAATATACAATGCACAATGTGGAAACACTAGGGCTTATGTATACATACAAAATGGTCTAAGACATCCTCAACTCACCAGATTTCTATTTTAGAGACCTAATAGCAGTCACGATGAAAATAAACATAGCAGGCAACAAGAGGCCACTCATTTTAACCTCTGCATACCTTCCCCATGACTCGCCCAGTACTCCACCAACAGATGAGCTGAGGGATCTAGTAGATACCTGTCGGGCCGGAAACCTGCAGCAAGGACATCAAAAGAGGTGAGCCTTTACTTCTAACCACTAATCTGGAAATATTGAATCGTGGAAATGAACCTACTTTTGTAACCAGTAGACGGAGCGAGGTTATTGATATTACCCTTGGTTCTTCCTTCGTTTCAAATCACATTGGCAAGTGGTACAGAGAGCCTTCGCTCTCAGATCATCGGCATATTCTCATGGAAATCGACTACGTCGATAAACCAGGAGACCCACAAAAAAACTATTGGTTTGGATAAGGGGTGGAGGTGGGAGCAGTGTTAAAAACCGTTAAAATAACTCTCAATACTAAAAATAATTTAGATGAAGTTGTAGAACAACTACGGGACGCAATCATAACATCATATAACAATGACTGCTCGTTTAGGAACAGGAAAACTTCTAGGGAGGTGAGATGGTGGAACATGGAACTTGCCAAACTCAGAAGGAAAACACGTAAACTTTTTAATAAGGCTAAAAAACGAAAGAGTGTGGGGAATACACCGAAACACTCACAGAGTATAATAAAACTCTTAGGAAATCTAAGAGAGATTCATGGAGAACATTATGTCAGGAAATTGAAAATACAACTGAAAGATGCAGACTCCACCGCATTCTAGCAAAAGATTCAATGAACCCTGTGGGGACTTTAAAAACCCAAACAGGGGAATACACTAAAACTGGAATGGAAACATTAGTACTTCGTAAAACTCATTTCCCTGATTTCACAACAAACTCGAATGCAGAAAAACAAACCCACACGAAATGGAACTCTCAAAGTATCTAGCCAAGAGTGGGAAACTGCTAAACGGGTAGTCACAACAGAGAAAGTAACATGGGCAATACGTACTTTCAATCCATACAAATCACCGGGCCCAGATGGGGTAGTGCCTGTGTTTTTGCAACAGGCAATAGAAACGCTGGCCCCGCATATTTGTGGGCTCTACAGGGCAAGTTTGGTGCATAAACATGTACCAAATACCTGGAAACAAAGCACAGTTGTCTTTATACCTAAACCGGGACATCCAACGTATGCCGTGGCAAAGGCCTATACACCAATAACTCTGACGTGAGTTCTACTAAAAGGATTGGAAAAACTGATTGATCAGCATGTCCGGCAAACCACTCTGATAGAGAGGCCATTTCATACAAACCAACATTTCTATCAATCAGGAAAATCTTGTGAGTCTGCTCTGCATCATCTCGTAACGAAGATAGACCTCCGACTCAGTAGCCAAGAAATAGTCCTAGGAGCATTTCTTGACATAGAAGGAGCTTATGATAATACCTCCTTTAAATCAATGGTAGCTGCCGCTCGCAAACATGGAATAGAAGACACCATCTGCTGGTGGATAGAAGACATGTTACGCGGACGGCAAGTACAGGCACAAATGTTTAGTGAAACCATGCAGGTGAATATCTACAGGGGATGCCCACAGGGTGGAGGCAGTTCTCCTCTACTGTGGAACCTAGTGGCAGATGAACTGCTGAAAACACTGAACAACCAAGGATATGCCGATGACATAGTCATCCTTATCCGAGGGAAACACCAAACCACAGTCTTCGAACTCATGCAAAGAGCTCTTAGGCTGACAGAAATGTGGTGCGTTAGGGAAAACCATGACAAGGCACAACTCATAACCTTTACTCAGAAAACAAGGTTGGAGGTCTTAGAAAGTCCGCCTCTGTTTGGAGGAAGGCTAAACAAAACGAACCAAGTAAAATATCTGGGTCTAATCCTAGATAGCAAACTTACTTGAAACCAACACAACCAACACAAAAAGTGACCAACAAATGTAAACTGTCTCTCATTGTAGGGAGACGGGAATTTGCAAAAACATGGGGATTATTACCAAAAATGGTCCACTGGCTATATTTGGCAATAACAAGACCCATGATAACTTATGGAGCGGTTGTTTGGAGGCCAAAAGTAAACCAGAAAACAGCCCTAATACCCATTCAGGAGTTCATAAGCTGGCATGCCTTTATATTACAGAAGCACTGAGAAGTATACCCAGTCTCTATTGAAATCATTCTAAACCTCCCACCCCTTGACCTAGTCATAAAGGGGGAGGCCAGAATGAGTGCATACAGACTGGAAATCTCCAACAACTGGAACACACTGGGATATATAAAACATACCAGAATAACACATGAAGTAAATAATTCTAGATTATTCTAAACATAGGATCATATCACATGACACCCCTCCTAACCTTCAACAGACTCTTCCAGGTCAACTTCAACTGGAACGAGGTAAATAAGGAGATAGATAAATACTTGCTTAGCGGTCTCGAATAGTATACGGATGGATCGAAAACTAATAAGGGAACAGGCTCTGACGTACATGGAGTTAAACCCAAATGCGACATCATCGTCTCACTGGGGAAACATACCCCTGTATTTTAGGATGAAATACATGCAATCGAATTGTGGGTACGAAAGAATTTAAGAAGGAAGTACAAAACACAAACCATCCTAATTCTCTAAGATAGCCAAGAAGCTTTAAAGGCTCTTGATTCAAATAAAATCAAGCCAAAGCTTGTTTGGAACTGCCTTGGAATACTAAATGATCTGGCAACCCACAACAAGGTAAAACTAGCGTGGGTACCAGGGCACAAAGGTATCCAAGGAAATGAAAAGGCTGATGAACTCGCCAAAAAGGGATCAGATCTACCATTCACAGGATTCGAACCTATATTTGAGATAAGCAAAACCTCTGCTCGACAGGCACAAAACCACAACTTCACTGGCAACAGATAAGAGGGCACAGAATCAGTAAGCTCATGCTAAGGGTACCAAACCCACGCATGGCTACTGAGGCACTACAACTCGCAAGGCTTCAGATATTTACCATTGTGGGATTACTAACGGGGCACTGCTTGCTGAAACTCCTTCATGTGATGAGATTACACAATGATCTCACTACGTGTAGACTGCATGGAAGAGGAAGAAACCTCATACCATGTGATCTTCGAATGCGAAGCTCTTACTAGGCGACGTACGTTTCATCCTTTTCAGCCTAGAACCGGAAAGAATGCCCAAGGAACACTTGGTAGGTAACTTATTAAAACTAACCAAAGACACAGGACTATTCTAAAGATAGTACCTGAATACGGGGAAAGCAGGGGAACATTTTCTTCCTCATAACATCGCACAAAAACATCTATCCACGATTAATAGGTAAAAATCATTAAAAATATGAATCAATGTTTGCTGATTTAAAAATTTATTTGTATGCCTATTGTTGTGATTTACAGGTTGCCATAGAAACGACAAAAAAACTACTATGATTATGGTTTAAAATAATTGTCTAACAAGAGTTTATAATTATTATTGAATATCTCTGCAAATGATTTATACAATGCCATCCTCCTTTCTTTCATACATAAACATGGTTTAAAAGGTAGGTAAAAATATTAATAATTTAGGTTTAAAAGCTAGGTTCACAATGAATTAGCATTATAATTTTCAGGGAAAACACAATTGTCGCTGTCATGTCTTATGTGATTTTTTGAATATAAAATAATTTTTTTGAACCACTTTGCTCAGGATAGGGACTGGCACAGGTGCAATTTGGTAAAGTACAATGTTGTTACATGCCCTCGGAGCATATTTCATTTCGTTATCAGATGACGGTTGAAATTCGCAGTGGGCTCTCATACTATCATGTTTATATATAAATCCACCGAGATAAAATATCAATTCGCCGCAAAAAAACAATGTTGTTCATCAACACAGACAACCCAATTTCAAAACCTGAGAAGAGTAAAGAAAGAGTAAAGAAAGGCTTCAGAAAGAAAACCACTGATTAATCCAACTACAGCTAAAAGAAGTTTCCTGGAAAATATTAACGTGAGAAAATCTCCTAGGCTTATTTCCGAAAAATAAATATCGAGATGTCAATATGGCATTTATAATGTCGAAAAGTGAAACCATGGCAAATCAATTCAAATTGAGAACAGACAACTGATAAGGTAAGTCAAAGAACACCCGAATCCCATATTGATGGATTTAGAAAGAAAATATATATCTAAAAAAAAAATTTCATCCGAAGACGTCATATCTTACTAAATGTGACAGATGACGAAAATCCCCAAACGTCATTAAATAGTGCATTAAAATTATTCAAGTCAATTTTCAATACAATCCATAATTTAGCCACAAATCGGGTGTTTTGTCAATTTTGCTCAAATACACCAAATATCTAGACAAGCTAAGAAGTATCAACTAAGGAGGATACACAATGGGCTTAGTGATGCCTAAGTACCGCAGGGCAATCCACCGTCCACACGTTAAAAATACATAGAGAAGTGACAAGAACGTATGATGTACAAAAATGAATAGCACTTCAGTGTTGCCGATTCGTTACAAAATGTTAAGTTCTATTTTCAGGGGCACCTTCTAAAGATGAAATGTTGATATCAAGGTAGCAGGTAAGAAATTATTTCTTTTGGTATCCTAAATGTTTTATTGGTGACTAAAATATTGTGAAGTGTGTACCGTTCGTTTTAGAGATTAAATAAATCAGCCTGTCAGTTTTAATCTGTCCATAAATTTCAATTACACCATGTATTAACAACTTACTTTGCTCTTGTCTTGTTCTCATTAATTTTATATTTAAATTAGATTTAAGCGCTAGAAGTTTTGCTTTTTCTACCTAAAAAAAAAAAACAATATGGGATTCAATATTCGAAATGTAAATATTATACAGGGTGAATACTAAGTTAATACTTTTTTAACTGTTTGTAAGACGTTAAAATAAACATATTTTTTAAACAACTTTTTTCAAAAAACCCAAAAATAAAAAAGATAAATAATTGAAAAATCTAAATATGGGACTGGATTTGTGTATCGACAAATAAGCTAAATGTTTACGTTTTTATCTTTATATCTTTTTTGTTAGGTTCTATCGTGAATCACACCATTACTGGTCAATGTAATTTAGTCGGGTGTTCACTATTCAGTCGAATGTTAATATAAAAACAATAAACTTGAAAATAACTTGTTGCTTATTTATAGTGAGTGTCTTCAAAATGCCTATGAACCAAAGTGCTTAATCTGTGTTGTACAGAATGAACAGTGAACGATTTACCTTATATGGCAACACTTCAGTAAATGGAGAAAACTTTAACCACATTATTTACAGGACCAAATTGGATACTTTTTAATGCAAGTTTTTTTTTTGGTTTTTAAAGTTAAAAAAAAAAGAATCAACTTAGGATTCATCTTGTATAAAAATAAAAACAGTATAATTATTAAAATGTAATATAATAAATAAATGTGTAATATAAAATATATATTACATATTTGTTAATAATATAGAGCGGATTATATGTAAAAGCATTTTATGCATATTTACCAATTATTATTGTTTACATGACATTATTGTTTACATGACAACCCGAAAAAATTCCGAAATTTTTTCTCTTGGTGGGTACCCTGAACGAAATTACACTGGAAAGGAGGGTATGCTTTTGATAGGGAAATTTGGGCGGTCTCTGACAAAAAATTTAAATCTTTTAAATGCTTAGAAACGAGTAATGTCAATAAATTCAATGTGGCAACGTTTCGTTTTAATTATTTTAATGACTAATTGTCAAAGTGACATTTTCTTGTTATTGTTGTTAACAAAAAGTGTGAATCGTTTTCTTTTCAATTCGTATATTATTTAATTAGTTAGCATATTTTTTTATATCGTTTTCTGTTCAGTTCGTTTATTATTTAATTAGAATACCTTTTCAGTTTTACACTTTTTGTATGTATATTCGATCATTTCACATGGTCCCAATAAAGTGCTTTGGGTGCGATGGGTACGTCAATAAAAAAAGTACTTCAAAAGCGGCCAACAATGAAACCTCCAGGCAGTTTCTACTGAATGTTCGAGCACGCAGAAAAATTGACTAGGTAGAGCCTGAAGGAAACTCGCGCATTTGCACCCAATGCTATGCTACGTTTCGACGACAAGGTAGAGTAAAGCAATGTTAATAGTAGCAATATAATAAATCTTGTTTGTTTTTATTCTTAAGGCAATTAAATAAAACAACCTAATATCCAACAAGATCCTATTCCCATCAGTGGAAATGTATACAGCGATGAGGTAGACACTGAAAATGGTGAAGAGAATGGCGAAAACATTAGAAATGTACCGCTCAAACTGCCAAATAATCAAAGATTTTGTTGCGTGTGCAGTATTATTAGACGGCAGCGTATTTCAAGGGAAACTGTTTTCAAATTATGGATTCAAAACCGGATATTTTTCAACTTGGGGAACCGATCATGCCCGGAACATGGTGACAATGAATGTTTAATGAATCTGCTCACTGATCGCGTAGTAGCTCTTGAAGAAAAAAAAAAGATATTTGATTTTGACAATGAAAATATGGATGACGACGATAGCAAGTGCTTTACCGGATTAAGTAAAGCGCAGTTTACAACGGTTGTAGGTAACTGCAATAACTTGACACCTAGAAGACAAGTTTAAAAAAAAAATTGCGTACCTATTTTTCCAATAAAACTGAGAAATGATCCAACCCAAAAAGTTTTAACTCACAATTCAATTTGTTCCTCTTCATCTTGGTTACCAACATATAACTCATCAAGAATACGCTACTTATCACAGTACCACTACCTCAAATCGTTTGGGTCACGTTAATCCTGATTCATTGGTAGTTCTTGTTGAAGCCACATACTTGTACCACGAAAAACCTGTTGGTCATCTTTCTCAGCGAATGACATATTCTATGTCAAAACGCTCAAATTTGGGTAAATTCTCGGTTGTGACTTGTGACAGCACCAGATGGATATATTATTGATGTTACCGGCCCACATGCTTCAGATGCTAGAAACAATGATTCGTCGATATTTAACGCTATGGCTGTTAACGAGGACGGATTTTTTCATTTTTTCAAGAAGATGACAGCATTGTATATGATTGCGGTTATCGAGACTCGATGCAGTTATGCCAAAGTATGGGACTAAATGTTTTTATGACAAATTTTCTTCCCAAAGGCCAACGTCAACTAACTACTCAGCAAGCAAATGAATCAAGACTAATAACAATGGTCAGATGGGTAATTGAAGCGGTTTTTGGAAAACTTCAAAATACGTTTCGGTTTCTAAAAAATGTTGTGCCAAACAGTTACAAATGTGAAACATTTGGAAACATTTTTAAAGTAATATGTGCTTTATCCAATGCGTTTTTTGTGCCTATAAATGAAAATGGGCCTAAAGATGACACATTTTGAGACAAGGTTTTGGAAAGTTTGATTCTTCCTAATAATTTATTAGACAGAATTAGAGATGAACGCCTAATTCAAGGTAGAATTATTGATTGGCCGCTGGTAGACGGATTTATTGACCTTCAAGACTTTCCAATTTTATCGGAAGATGAAATTCAGGACTTAAAACTCGGTACATACCAGATTCCATTATCGTACAGTTATACGTCATCACATATAAACAACGGCAACTATTTGGTAAGACTACATCGTCAACCTAATTCCGAAAATGATAATACTCACTTGATAAGAGCCTCAATACCTTCAAGGTTTCAAGCTGCTACCGAAAAAAAAATGCTTTATTGAATAAAAAAGCCAACTAATTGGAGTAAACGCGATAACTTGCTGGTCATGTCTTTGCAAATCAGATGCACGAGTTTTAAGAATGTGTGGACATGTCTGCTCTGTAATATGGTTTTTGTCACACGGAAGCCATCAGCCAGGAATTCGTTATCCGTCAAGATATATGGCAAATCATTTAAATGACGTGGCTATTGCTAGACCACTTTAAAAGTTTGTTTTTGCTTTAATTTAATTTTAAGTAGATAGTATTTAATCAAGGCCACTGTAATGTTGGTATTTAGCATGGTCTTTCTGAACACATTTAACCCTAAATGAGTTATTTTTCATAGATTTTATCGTAAATATTTAAGTTGGTTTTGTTTTGTTAATTATACTGTAGTACACCAGTAGCATATAATTCTTGTACTTACTTTTTTCTTAGGTGTCATTGGCATTGCTATGGTTATTACCCTCATATTGTGTGTAGGATTTGTTACTGTCTCTCCACTATGGGGTCAGCACTGTTAATTAGAAGCCAACAGTGAATGTTCGAGTGCGGAATTACCGTCAGGCTATGCAATTTAATTTTTAAATTCAAAAAAATTAGAAAGAAACTTGGCACCCGCTTGAATCTGAACCCGAATCGCCCGGATCCAGTCTTAAGCTCTACCCACAGCGCTATCTCGCCCCGCTTCTTGTAATTTTGTAAACATGTCATAGATTTTCTAATAGTGTTTAGGCACTTCTTGTTTAGGTACTTGTTTAGGTACTTGTTAGGTGCGTACAAGATAGGTTTTTTTAATAATGTTTAAAATCTAAAATCTAGTTATTTTAAAAATGTACGTGTGTATTTCTGTTTTAATTAATAAATTATTAATGTCTGTTGTTTTTTGTCTCTGTAGCTAAGGTACAGCATTATATTAGCTGATGCAGGCTTTTTTTAAAGAACTTTTAAACTGATGGAGCTTCTTTTGTACTGACCACTTGCAAACCACCACCATTAGACACCAATATCCAAAACTTAAAAACCGAAAAGAGTGCAGTTACAGGTGACTGAATAGAAACAAAATCGCAAAAGTAAACCTTTCTGTTGGCTGATTTTTACTGACATCGATCTTTAATTCTTTACCTTTATCGCCTGATTGCGCCTGATTTTATTGCTATCACACCAAGAACTTTTGAGATGTTCAAAACCTCGCCTAGTTTAAAACGCTTCTATAACGCTCTAAATTATCTGTCTTTCTTTCTCTCTGTATTTTCGAGAGATAAGTCCATCACGCAGTCTGCTACACTAACTAGGTAATCGTATTTCCATAGTAACGTGGTCTTATTTGCGTTACCGCTACCATCTATGTATTACGTCGAAACCCTGGATATGCACATAAGCTTTGTTGCCAAAATGTTTATTTTATCATTATTTTGTCTTCAAAAACTCCGCCATAAAAAGAGATTTTTTGAAGATTTTCCGGGATGGTTTGAATGTTAAAATTTTCGGAAAATGTTTCTTTTTTATGTATCTATAAGTGTGCAAAATCTTATGACCGGGAGCATGGGACCCAGAAAAGCATACCCTCCTTTTTCTAAATTATGTCAGAAACAACAAAGATCTCCGTTTGCCTCGGTGTTCCTCCTCAAAAATTTGAGCCCGTATGTTTTAACAATTTTTATTTGAGAATGAATTCATCTGCTCAACATAGTGTTGCCGGTACGGGGTCGTTATACATAAGTGACATTTGTATTGTGATTCGCAAGTATTCGCAGAATTTATTTTTCCTGTTGCAGGACAATCCATTAGATAAGTTAATTATAATACAATGACGGAAATATACAAAATTCATAATCATTTGGTCTACACAAAATAAATAAATAAATACAGAACAACCAGAAACTGTGAGAGCTAGTTTATTAAACTTAGTTCATAGTCATAAATATTAATATAAATTTTAAAAAACCTTGCTCGTACCTCCAGCTACAAAATCCATATTATTAAAATAAATAAAACAGATACAAATAAAAAAACAATTTTAAATACATTCTCTGTACAATTATTTGCTTTGAAATACTAAGTTTAAACAATTGTCGCTCATATGGCTCAAGATATCTTCTGATACCGAGATATAATCCTGTATAGATGGAGATTTATAATATCATTTATGGATCTATTGCAGTCATATATAGTAATTCCATTTTTTTTTTATTTTGGCCAAGTTTTCGGAAAAATACGCCACTGTGCATTCGTATTAGTTATTTACGTAACAAGTCCCGAAAGTGATATTTTACGGGATGAGTAGGCAGTTTCCAGGGCGAGCCGTAGGCGAGTCCTGGAAGCCCGCGAGTCCCGTAAATCACTTTTGGGTAGCGTTACGTACAATATTTTTTCTGCAGCCGTTTATTAGATAAAATATTAAAAAATAATAGGGATAGATACTATAAATATTACTTATGAACATTAAATGTACAATTATAACAATTACTTATATTAATAGTATTAGGAATATTAACAGAAATGGCTGTGTTGAAATTAGTATTAGACGTTGCAGTACTTGTACTAGCTTTCGAGATATTAATTTTTATCATCTTGCCATTTTTGGAATAAATTATAGACCATTTCATACCTCTCTCTTGACTTTACTGGCAACAATTCATAAGTAGCGACTTTAGCAGCTTCACTGATTTCATGTGGAATAATCATTTCCTCGTCACTTTCGTTGTCGATTTCCATTTCTGGATCGGAAAATTGAAAATACAGTGGAACTATCAACAAATTTATTTTGACAAGCGATGTCATAATAAAAATTCCGTAAATGTCATTGCTAAGGCCACCTACATAGATATTGAAAATTATTCTAAAGTAAAAAAATCGTCCCGAAAGTAAAAAAAATCATTCCGAAAATAGCTACTTTCGGTACGATTTGTGTAAAGTTTCACTTTCGATTTAATAAATCATACCGAAAGTTCTATTTTCGGGACGGCTACAGAAAAAAAACTTTTTGGGACACACATATTATTATTATTATATTTTGGTGCATATATTCCGCTCTCTAATTATGGCACTACTTTTTGTTGTAAAGCATTATTTTATTATAAAATACGAATTTAAAAATAATCACATTAAATTCAGCTTTGAAAATTGCTATTGCATTCGCTAAAATCGTCATCTGAACTATTTGCGACGTTGCCATCTCTATTTGAAAAATCATGGATATATTTTCATGTTTTTCTCAAAAACTATTGATCCATTTTATGCAAGATCTTATTCGTTAGTTTTAATATCAAGTTGTTACCTATTCAAATTTTTTAAACGTTTACTCTTAAACCTAGTTTTGTATATAAATGATTCTAGAATAAAAAAAAAACAACTCTGAAATAAACCTTATTAATTTTACCTGTAATTGTTGACACATTTTTGTAATTACATTTTGCCTAGACGTATTATCAGTTTGTCGAGACGCTGGAGCCAATTTCATTGTAGCATCTAATTCATTTTTAAGATCAATTAATTTCTGTTTCTGTTTCTAAAAAAAATAAAAAAAAAATATTAAAATTAGTTTTCCTACTTGAAAAAACAAGTGAATAAAAGGTAAATGTACATTTTTTAAATAGATGTTTTTGCCTAAATGAATGCCAACTATTCCGTTATGATATTCTTTCAAATAAAGATGTTACCAGGTGATAAAGGGCTTATGTTCTATGGTTAACTATCAAAATAATAACCTTTAAATTCAAATATCTCAAAAGTATGTTTTTGTCACTTCGGTGCAACTATGCGGGCGTTTGTTTGGGCTTTTATAGGTACGTCGAGTTTCCTTGGATAGGCACACATTCAAGTACTAACTACGAGTAATCCTGCTTGATTGTAGATATCGATACACAATAGTGAACCTGCTAAGCCAGGCCGCTACCCCAGAAGTATTACTGTATATTCAATGTTTTGACTTTCTATAAGGGTTAGTATTTTTGTTATTTTCTATATTTAGACAAAAATAATTAACGTCGCACTATGCTTTGATTTTCCTAGATAACAGGAAAGAAGGCATACAATGAGCGTGTTTAGTGTAAACGAATTTAACGAATCTAATGCTATTAACTGTTTAAGCAAAAAAACTCTTTTTTTTCATGCAACACTATTTTTGCACCATTTATCGCGTCATAATGAAGCGCCTATTTCTATTGGTCACTAAAGAATCTATATACCATAACTATGAAGACTAGAGATATGGAGACGAATCGGCATACTCAAAATACGGTCCCAAAAAACGCATGCTAATTGAGCCTCTATAATTAATCGCATGGGCGCTGGTACTGCATACGGTGTTCAAAATACATAGTTTCTTATAGGAATTATACATAATTTTGTCAAAATAATAAAAATAAACTTGTTTACAGCTAAATAAAGCACAGAACATACTGTTGTATTTATTTCTAAATAAATCTTCATGTTTTAATTTGATAAAGTTATTTAATTTTATCTATATAAAATACAAATTAGGTATGTATAACCAAATTCGAAAAGGTTTTTTTAATTGCTGAAAGTACAATTTTGTGGCAATTTTTTTTTGAATTGAATCAATATATAGTTTTAAGAGTAAAATAAAACACAGTTAACAGATTTTTTATTGTTGTAATACAAGTATAAAAGGAGATTTGGGAATGGATGTACATGGTATTACCTCATCCTTTAATTTCAGCTTTCCCCTTTTTATTTTGTTAACAGTACCATTAGTAAAAATAGTCTCATAATATTTGATAATATCTTTTAAAAGGTATAGAACAGCATCGTCTTTAGAAAGTACTTTATCGGCACTAGGAACGATATATATGCTGCCACTGTTCTAAACGTTTAGTATCCTATAAAAAACATTTACAATTAAACAATTAGGGTCAAAAAAAAAATAACGGTAGCAACTTTTTATCTATTATTAAAACTCTATAAAAAATAAATTTTCTTTTCTAGTAAGTTAAATTTAATGCATAATTATTGTTGTTTGTAAGTCAGCATCTATAAATGTAAAATTTTATATTATAGAAACTTGTAATAAAATAAACTACACTTCGTAAGATACATATTGTGACTAGTTTACAATAAGTATTATATTTAAACATTATTTTACTTACATTAAAAGCTTTAAAAAGACATTGATTTCTTCTTTTGTTTTCTTTAGTTTTACATTTGATTTTTATCCTGTTTTACAATCTGAAACGACGTAAATCTTGCTTTGATGTTTTTTGTCACTCATGTTACTTGTACTCAGGTACTTTTTTTCACATTATTTTGATTCTTTACATCAATTTTTTAAAAAATCACTTTATTTTACATTGACTTACATAGAAAATTGACTCCGCTGTCATTAGACATGCCGACTACAGTCAATTTCGCGATTTTTATAAAAAGAAGGACGGAAATTTGAAATTTGACCATTGCCGATTCGCCTCCTTCTCTCGTCTTCATAACCATAATACATACTACAGCTGATCGTTATCTTTTTCTAATAGTGACATTTATGATAGTTATCTCTTTCTAAAATCGGATTATAATTATGATGTTTTCTTTTCTCATGATACAATAATGTCAAAATTTTCAACCTCAAATCGATTGTGGGAAACAATGAAATTGATTTAAAAAGGTGTGATAAAATAAACATTTGTTTAATTTTGCATTAAATTAAAAATATCTAATAAAATGTTAAAAAAGTTCCTCAAAATCTAGACCTAGACATTCAAAAACGATAGTGGACTAAAGGCTGTTGCAAAACACAAACTACAATCGGGCTTTTATATTTATTTTGATGTAAGCAAAGATAATCTTGCATTGTTTTTGTTTCCAATTTGATACAAATTTATAAAACGTACCTAGTTCATCAACTAGTAGGTGAATATAGGTACCTACCTTTTTAATTAACACTGAGTCTGAGGGTACTAATTAGTTTGTATTATTTTTTATGTGGAAAAAGATGCATAAAACTAGATCCATTTTAAAATTATGAGTAAAAAATTGACAATAAAACAAGAAGTTCCACATAAATAGACTATATTATATCGTTTTTTCACTTTTTTAAATATATTATTCCTAAAGTAGATAACATGCATCAAATATACAATGGTTTAGTTACCAATTAAATACCTTTAAACTATTTTTTATGACCTGTAAACAATATTTACAAATAAACTAAAAACAGTAAAAACGTATATGTCATATTTATTGATGTTGGTTAATCATATTATGTTGAAATAGCCATATCCTGTTAAGTTCGAATTGCCTTGAGGTACATATATACCTGAAAATTCAACGTCCTAATATATCATCTTCCGGTCCGTGGGGCCTCAGAACCACCAATTTAACGTCTCTTAAATTTGTTTTAAGATTCTATTATGTACCGGGTGGGAAACTAAAAATGGACGCCGGCCATATCTCAGAAACAGATCAGTGTATATATTCGGCGAAAAAAATTTTGCAATGAAAATGGCCATGCAAAAAGACAGGAAAATGTTTTCGAGTTCTTTAAATGGCCGCTAGGGGTGCAACAAACTCTCGAAAACCTAATCATGTGGTTATCTCGAGAAATACAATTGAAACCTTGATGAGATTATACAAGAGACTTTTTGCCCTTACAAATAAATGTTATGTAACTTTTTGTTTCTTAAGAGCGATATCCATGCAACACCTAACAGCAAATTCAGATTTAGAACTCACTGACAACTTTCAGTGCATCTGAACCCACTTTGGCAACGTTGCTATTCCCAGACTTACGCTCCCTTCAATTTATTACTTATAAACTATAGATGATTTAAAATATTAAAAATGCCGATAAATCGCAGGTCCGGTCTAACAAAGAGTATTTCTGTTTTGTTTTCTCGTTTAAAATATTTTTTAAAGGTATAACCTGGTATAACATTTTCGAAAAATTTTTTTTATAACTAATTTATTTATTTACGAAATATATTTTTAAATATACATATGTACCTATTTCTACATTTTCTTATATACAGGGTGTTTGTTGAAGTGTGAATGATTTTAGGGAATGTTTGCCGAAGTTATTTTATAAAAAAAACATAGATCGAAAAAGTCAGTGGCTCAGTACTTTTTTATTAAAAAAGTGGTATTCTCGCACAAACGCCACTGGTACAAGTAGAAATATTTGGAACACCCCAAAAAATACACATTTGCCCCTTCAAAGTTTTTTTGCAAATTTAGAGTAAATATCTTTAAAACTATTCAAAATAATTAATAAAATTTAATAAATTAAAATTTAAACATTCTGTATCTCGGAAACGAAGCATATTTCGACCTTTTTTTATAGGAACTTTTTTTAACAAAATAACTTTGATAACAATTTGCAAAAATCGTCCGTACTTATTTACAAATACCCTGTATAAAAATACGTTTTTTAAATAATAACCCATTTGATACTAGTTTGTGCAACAACAGTGGACAATCCACTGGAGTTGTACAGTATGTTTTTTTCTACGACCCACTAACGAAAATCTACAAATTTAAAGTATTATTTTAGGAAAAGACAAAATAATTAATTTTAAAATAATTTATGACTTTACTAATTTGTGAAATAAAATAAACATGAAAAAATATTTCATTTAATTAGTCCCCAGCGCAGATTTGAACTCGGGCCTCTCGCGTGAAAGACAGATGCCGTATCATCATTTTCACCTCCACATTTAAAATTTTAGTTCTAAAAGTAGTAATTAAATTAGTTTCATATAGGTAGTTTAATTCAAATTTAGGATTTTTTAAATTGTGGTCTAAATTAAAATTATTTATGAATCCTACGCAAAAATAACTCATTTTAATGTATATTTAATCTCAATTCCTAAAAAATATACTGACAATTAGTTTGACAGAATTGTCACTTATTTAAAATTTTAAAAATAATAGTTGTTGGGTGTCCAATATATAAACTGTGATTGGTGAATTTCATTTTTTTGCAGTGTTCTCACTACCCAGAATGGATATGAAATATATTCGTTGAGTTGAACGAAATAGTATATATTTTCGTTTTGTAGTCTGTGCGTGAATAGTAGTTTGTGCAACAAAATTGGATATGATGGCCATATCGCACGAAGACGAAGTTTCAGAACGACGCCGTAGACGGAGTGCTTAATCGTCTGAGTGCGATACAGACAATCCACTCGAGTTGTACAGTATATTTTTCCTACGACACCCTAACGAAATTCTACAAATTTAAAAAAGTAATTTATTAAGACAAAATAAATAATTTTAAAATAATGTATGACTTTTAATAATTTATAAAATAAAATAAACATACAAAAAGATTTAATTTAATTAGTCCCCAGCCCTGATTGTAACTCGGGTCTCTCGCTTGGAGACAAACTCCGTGCCGTCGCCACACTTGCCATTATAGTTCTAATACTTGTAATTAAATTAGTTTTATATGGTTTGATTAAAATTTAAGATTTGTTTATAAATTTGGACGAAATAAAAATAGAAATTCTATTACTTATCGATTATACATAAGAAATATTCATTTTTACGTATATTTAA